TTGGAATAAAGTCTAGATAGTCATGATGTATTTTTAAAGCATTGCTATATTTATTAATATATCACTTATGATATTGAAAATAAGTTTTTAATTGAATTGACCTTTAATTTTCCTTTTCTTGACCTTATACTACTTCTATGTTAATCTTATACTAATTGCAGGAATGAAATTTTAGAAATTTCTCTCTTTTTATATTCCCTAGAAAACTTGTATTCCAGGACTATTTTATGAAAATGTATAAAACTCAATACAGTTATGCTGATCAGTACCATAAGCTGGGCTTTCAGGCTTCCCACGGTCACTGTTTGGGCTCCCAGGTCAGGCAGAGCCAGTGGCCATGAGCCACAGCAGGGCGAGGCTGCTGGCTTGGCTCTCTGCCTCAGTGGGGCTGTAGATGGGCTCCAGAGTTGGCCACAGCCTCTGGTTGGGCAACCTAGTGAGGCAGAGGCTGAAGGCTATGTTCAACAGTAGGGTAGTGTTGCTGGCTTGGCTTTCTGTCTGGAGGGGACTATAGAATTAGCTCTGTGGCTGTCTTGGGTCCCTGGCTAGGTTTCCTTGTTAGGTTGGGCTGAGGGCTACGCTTCACTGTTGTGTAGAGCTATGGCCTTGCTTTCCTGTTTTAGCAGGCCGTAGGGTGTGCTGTGCAGCCACATGGCATCTTTGGCCACTTACTTTGGGCTGTAGGATGTGTTACATGGTTGCCTTGCATCTCAGGCCAGACTTCCTCCTTCAGTGGGGCTAGAGACGCAGGGGTGGGCAAACTTTTTGACTCGAGGGCCACAATGGGTTCTTAAACTGGACCGGAGGGCCGGAACAAAAGCATGGATGGAGTGTTTGTGTGAACTAATATAAATTCAAAGTAAACATCATTGCATAAAAGGGTACGGTCTTTTTTTTTTTTTTTTTTAGTTTTACTCATTTCAAACAGGCCGGATCCGGCCCGCGGGCCGTAGTTTGCCCACGGCTGGAGAGGCTATGCTCTTTCAACAAGACAACCTTCTGGCTGGTGACCCAAACCAGGCAGAATTGCCAGTTAAACTCCTTATCCAGTTGGGGCCACTGGCTCAGCTATGCAAATGACCAGAGCCACTAATTGGAATATCCTCTGAGGCCCCACCTCTGGCAGGAACACAGTTTGCCAAGATCCCTGTACTTGTTGTGAGCTCCTCCTCCTTCTCTATCTCTAGCTAACTTTCCCAGTTATCTCCATGAGGCATACTTAGTGGGCCTCCCAGGAATCATGCAGAATGCTAGGGAAGCTTGATGTCCAGCTTGCGCTCTCCTTTCCCACCAAAGAAACTGCAGGCCCAGGGGGACCCCTCCCTGCATCACTGTGCTGACCTGGGGGAGGAGCAATGTGGGCAAAGGGAAGCTGCTCCTCCTTCCTCATGCTGCTTTCCTCAGGTTTTGTAGTCCAAGGGATTACTTTAGCCTTACCCCTGTGTGCCGGGATCTTTACAAAGGCATTTTGTCTATGAATAGTTGCTAGTTGCTCTTCCCCTGAGAGGGAACCACCCATTTGTCATCTATCTGACATCAGTTTCCTGGTTCAAGTTTTATCAAACTATTGTTTCATACATTGTGCCTAGATTTTCAGTTGTTTCAGGCATAATGGAAGGTATGATCTCTGTTATTGCATCTAGGTCAGATGTTCTGTATATTTTTTGCAGTGAGTATGATTAAAAAGCCAAAAAACCCCCCCACATAATTCTCTAAATATTCACATAGAGACTTTTCTTGCAGATTGACTCTTCTAATTGGGGTTTGGAAAAAATGGTCCTATGTGTACTTTTTTTTTTTACATTGAATTTTCTATTTTTTATAAATCTACAGTTTACCCATAGTTGGATTAGATTATTGTATATAATAATGTAATATAAATCACTGATGCATTTTTGTTTTATTGGAATTAGATTATATTTAGTACTTAATGGAACGCTGCTGAAAAGATCTTATGCTATTTTTCATGCCTGTTTTCCCTTCTTATTCCACTAATATATGAAGAAATGAGATAAAAAGGAGAACTTAGACATATCTTTCTATTGCCTGAAATTTTGTATTACTAATTTGTGTTCTGGAAAAAAGGACATCCTTGTCCTGTGGCATATTGCTGCCAAAATAAATTTCCAGAGGTAATAGTTTTATTCTGTTTTAAAATTATTTCTTAAAAACCAGTCATCTAATTCAGAAAGAGAGTAAGAGCCAAGTTTTAAAAACTATATACTAGGAAATGCCTCATTTATAAATGTATACATATTTGTGCTCATAAGTTGGGTAATTGTGCACCTTAACAACTCTATTCATTTTATCATTATTCACTTTGTGTATATAAAAATGAAGGCTTTTTAATTCAAATTCTGTGGCCTGGGACACTCATGATTGGGACATGGTTATATTTCATGCTTCTGTTCAGTGTTAATGCATACAGTTTCATGGAAAATTATAGAATACCTTATTTACTCTGGTATAGCTATAACAAGGGGTTATTTACTTAACATGTATTCTGAAGGGGTATAAGTAATTAAGAGTTAATTTGGCTTCATCTGTTATATAAAAGATGTTAGAAAAGCTATACAAAAATCTGTATTGGAGTCTTTGCATCAGAGGACTGAGTTGACATCTGAATTGAAGTTCTGCCAAGTATCATTTAAAAATTATGTTTCCTTAAAATGATTGTGATGGTTAAAATAGATATCCTAGACATTTTGAGATTACAGCTCATCTCTAAAATGACTGAGCCCAGATACAATAGTCCTGATAAAGTTTATTGACAGACACTATGCTAATAGATTTTAGAAGAAAAAATAGTCATTATTTAGTCTAAACAATAATTTTGCAAAATCATATATATATATATATATATATAATATATATAGACTAGAGGCCCGGTGCACAAAAATTTGTGCACTGGCGGGGGAGGGGGGTGTCTCTCAGCCCCACTTGTGCCCTCACACAGTCTGGGACCCCTTGGGAGATAATGACCTGCTGGCTTAGTCCCACTCCCAGGTGGCAGAGGGCAGGCCCAATCCCTAGGTGCAGCCCCTGGTCAGGCTCAGAGCAGGGCCAATTGGGGAGTTGGGGCGCCGCCCCCTGTCATGCACAGAGCAGGGCGGATCAGGAGGTTGTGATGCCACCCTCAGTCATGCTCAGGGTAGGGCCGATTGAGGGGTTGGGGCGCCGCCCCTGTCACACTCAAGGCAGGGTCGATGGGGAGGTTGCAGCACTACCCCCTGTCACGCACAGAGCAGGGCGGATCAGGGGGTTGTGGTGCCACCCCTGTCACATACAGAGCCAGCCGATCAGTGGGTTGGGGCACTGCCCCCTGTCATGCACAGAGCAGGGGCCATCAGGGGCGTTGAGGCTCCGCACCCTGTCACACATAGAGCAGGGGCCATCAGGGGCGTTGGGGCTCCGTACCCTGTCACACACAGAGCAGGGCCAATCAGGGGGTTGGGGAGCTCTCCCCTGTCACACACAGAGCAAGGCCGATCAGGGGGTTGGGGAGCTCCCCCCTGTCATGCACAGAGCAGGGCGGATCAGGGGGTTGGGGCGCCTTCCCCTGTCACGAACAGAGTAGGGCGGATAGGGAGGTTGTGACCCTGCCCCCTGTCACACACAGAGCCGCAGGGCGATCAGGGGGTTTGGGCGCTGCCCCCTGTCACATTGATCCTGGTGCCGGGAGGCCTCTCAGCTCCGCTGATCCTGGTGCTGGGAGGCATATTACCCTTTTACTATATAGGATAGAGGCCTGGTGCACAGGTGGGTGCTGGCTGCTTTGCCCTGAAGGGTGTCCTGGATCAGGGTGGGGGTCCCCACTGGGGTGCCTGGCCAGCCTTGGTGAGGGGATGATGGCTGTTTGCAGCTGGTCACACACCCTTCACGGTGGGGGTCCCCACTGGGGTGCCTGACCAGCCTGGGTGAGGGGCTGAGGGCTGTTTTCAGGCTGGTGGGTGACTGAAGCTCCCAACCGCTCCTTTTTTTCTTTTTTTTTCTTTTTTATTCTGGGCCAGCTTTAGCTTTGAGGCTTGGCTCCAGCTCTTAGTCCTCCACTGCTGAAAGCAGGTTTCTGGCCTTTGTTTACCTTCTGTATTTGAAACAATGTTGCGATCCTGCTGGCTGAAGCCCGGCGGATTAAAGCAGGTTTCTGGGGTTTTGTTTAGCTTCTATATTTGTAACATAGTTGCTTAGAGTTGCAGCTCAGAGGCCTGCAGCGGCAGGCGGGGAACGTTGGAGTCCTCTGCCACTGAAGCAAGCAAGCCTCATGTTAGTTTCAAGCTGCCTGGCTGCTGGCCGCCATCTTGGCTAGCATTTAATTTGCATATCTCCCTGATTAGCCAATGGGAAGGGTAGTGGTCGTACGCTAATTACCATGTTTCTCTTTTATTAGATAGGATAATACACACACACACACACACACACACACACACACACACACACAGAGATTATTATGACCACCTGACGTTTGTAGGCAAATTAGCTATAATTTCACGCTGAAGTTGCTAGAGGGCCAGGCCATTATAAATAGGGAAGCAGGTTGTTTACCACGACAATAGAAGTGATTTTTTTCTGAAGATGTGGGTAAACAATGCCTTTGAATGTGGGATATCACACACACACACACACACACACACAAACATATATTAGTTTCCTATTGCTGCTGTAACAGATACCAAAGACTGTGGTTTAAAACAATATAAAATATTCTCTTACATTTTGGGGCGGGGAGCAGAAGTTCGAAATGAGTTTCACTAGGGCAAAACCAACCTTTTTAGCAGGGCCACAGTCTCTAGAGAAACTCTAGGGGAGAATCTGTTTCTTTGCCTTTTCTAGCTTCTAAAGGTGCATTTCTTGCATATGTTGCTCATGACCCCTTCCTCCATTTTCAATGCTAATAGCCACACTAACTTTACCTTTTTTGTAGTAAAATCTTCATCTGTGCTCATAAATTGGGTAATTGTGCACCTAACACTTTTGATTACAACTTCATGATCCTTCCACAGGCCTGCTGTCAGAGAATTGAGAGGATCAGCATTTCCAATACTTTGTGATAGCAACCCTTGTGATTACAATTTTGGCCGACCTCGGTAATGCAAGACTGTCTCCCCACCTGAAGATCCTTAACTTAGGTCGTACATTTAAAGTTTCTTTTGCCATGTAAAGAAGCTTTCCAAAATTAAGATGTAGATATCTTTTATGGCCCAAATGGAGGACAAAATGCTGCCAAAAGTCATATAAAACAAAACATGTTAGAAACCAGTACAGTTGGGAAAGAAGTTTTATGGATGGATTGATAATATAAGCAAGGGATCCTGGAGTTCTTCCACTATGTTCCAAAATTTTGTATTGTTGACTGATTTTTTTTTTCTGATACAAACAAATGGGACATTAATCTTCAGTTTTTTTCTGATATACTTCATCTTCTACTCTTGTCTTGCCCTATAAAACCAATACTTAGTAATATAAGGTCATGCATTCATAAATTGGAGCACAGATTTACACAGCTTGATATTATGCTTAATTTAGAAATAATTTACATTTGATATTTGAACATAGACACATGTTCAGATATGTACTTTCATATTTCCTTTAAATCTTTTCGTCACCCTCTTTTTCACCTTTGTTATTCTCAACACTAATGAAGGATTGACCACTTTGCCACTGATGGCAAAATTTTTCTAAGCAATACTATGAGAATTTTTTTAGGAGAGAATTCTAAAGGTTCCTTAAGTCCTAGGAGATCTCAGAGCTAAATTATTATCATTATTATTTTTTTTTGATGAGGGATCATGAATTTATTTACTCAATCATCTACACACCAGGTGGCTGAGCCTGGATGGCTCCAGCCAAGCTAGATTATTTTTTGCTGTTGTTATTCAGTATCATTCCAGTGTTTACATTTTATTGTATACCTTTGGAGAGAAAATTTTACTTGGTACTTCTAATATATGGCTCAGTGACTTCTACATTTTCCAATAAGTATGTTTTAGCATGTAACTTTGTTAAGCATGTATTTTGTTGCATAATTTATAAGGTAGATGTTTACATTTTTCTTTCCTGAACTACAGGATACCAGAAGGCCCCGTTGATCAGGGGCCAGCTTCTGGAAGGATTCGTGCTTTAGAAGAGCAGCTTGTGAAGGCCAAAGAGCAAATTGAAAATTATAAGAAACAAACTAGAAATGGTAGGTGATTATACAGTATATTTCTCTCCTTGATATATTGATATTAGTACCAATAATTGAAAATTTTATTTCATCAAAATATTGGAAATGCTGATACTCCTAATTCTTTGACTGCAGGTCTGGGGAAGGATCATGAAATTCTGAGGAGGAGGATTGAAAATGGAGCTAAAGAGCTCTGGTTTTTTCTACAAAGTGAACTGAAGAAATTAAAGAATTTAGAAGGAAATGAACTCCAAAGACATGTGGATGAATTTCTGTCAGATTTGGGACATCATGAAAGGTACACTTTTTACTTTACATTTCATTTGGGCTTTAGTAAAAATTATAATCTAAGAATGGGAAGCTGAAACTTTTGGTAATTTCCCTGTTGGATGGTAAATGATGCCTACCATAGTTAGGAGTAGGAGAATACCTGAGATCTCAAAGGATAATAATTGCCAGATGTAGTTCATCAACTAAAAATATATCATGGGACAATATTATTTAAAACATATTTCTAGTCTGGCCCGTTGTGACTCAGTGGTTGAACACTGACCCATGAACAGGAGGTCAAGGTTCAATTCCTGGTCAGGGCACATTCCTGGGTTGTTGGCTCAATCCCCGTTAGAGGGTGTGCAGGAGAAAACCGATCAATGATTCTCTCTCATTATTAATGTTTCTATCTCTCTTTCCTTCTCTCTTCCACTGTCTGAAATCAATAAAAATATATTTAAAAAGTAAATAAATAAAACATTTTTAGAAATCTGTATACCCTAAGTAAATTCTGAAGGTAGTGGTATAAGCTAACAATACTTTGGAAATCTGTAAATTTCCTTCATATACAATCGATATTTGAAGTGGAATCTGCAGTTTTATATTATAATATACTGGAACTCATGCTGAGCTGGCAATTACTAGTATGTTTCTAATTCAGACATTAAAAACATTAAAATAGCCTCTTTTTAGGGTTTGTAATTAAAGATGAACAGGTTTTTGATAAAAGGGATCATTCTGTTGCATTTAGTTGCTAGAAAGAAGAACCTGAAATCTGCCTAATTCTTCTGTTTGCACTTTTTTTTAAAATAACGCAGTTTATTACACAGAAAAGAAAACATTTTGGTGCTGGTGTGTTTATGCAGAGCAAAATGTATCTGAGAATCATTATAAATACAGTGAAAACTGTCCTTAGCCCTATTATATTTATGTCTATATTCCCAGTAGGACTGTAATGGCAATTACTGTCTCATTAGTGAACAATAAATGAAAAATTGTTCTATTAACACAACCTACCACCGTGAAGAGAAAAAGAGTTACCCTATTACAATAGGATTCATATATATTAACATCATTAGCAATATTGCAGTGATTTTGAAATACTGACCTGCTGTTTTATTTAAGTGAAATTACAAATAAAATCTATCAGTTTATTTGACTCATTTTAACATTAATGAATCTAGAGAAGTAAGACAGTTTGAAATCAAGGGACATTGAATTATTATGCCATTGGACAGGCCCTTTGAAATTTTTAGCCTAGTTTGCAATCAAGTAGTAGTTAGACCATTAGACCAAATGATGACTAATTCTGCCCTTAATGCTTCTCTACCTTCAAGCTAATTCTAGGTACCAAGATTCTGTTAATTGGAGCTGTGTGTTTGCATGCTTTACTTATTGCAGTTTTATGGGGAAATCCAACTCCGAAGAGGATTTGAGTTGGGTAAACTGTGGTATTTAAAGGAGAATTTTGACTGTTGACTTCTGATGGAATGTTTAAAGTTTGGGTGATTTAATTAAATTACTTGAGAATCAAAGTACTTATTTAAAGAATTATTTTGTACATATATTTTGTTACCAAATGTAGAAACAGCATACAAATGAAAAATGTTAGGCCCTGGATACTTGATGTACGGTAAATCAGTGTTACATTTTTGTAAGTTGAATTATGATTCCTGACACTACCTTTTAGTATATGTTAAATAATAACATTGAATTGGATTACACATTATAATAATACTAGAGGCCCGATGCACCAAAATTTGTGCAAGAGTAGGTCTTCCTTCCCCTGGCTGCCAGCACCGGCTTCTGTCTGGCACCCAGGACCTGGGCTTATCTCCTCTGGCCTCCAGCAACCACCCAGGACCCGGGCTGCTTCCCTCCAGCCCTGGCTTCATCAGGAAGGATGTCCAGAATGACATCTGGAAGACATCTGCTCTAATTAGCATATTACCCTTTTATTATTATAGATTTCACAGAAAATAAAAATGGAAAGGTACCCAAGGTACAAAGACCAATTTCTTTTACTGTCATTTGCAAAAATTATAATGAACTTGGGACACAACTTCACAGAGTAGTAATTTAACTCTAGGCAGCCAGATTAGAATGCAGTGGCACATATAAAGAGCAGAGCACCATCAAACACTAGAGAAATAACCTTTAATGAATGTTCAAGTACAGAAGATTTGTATATATAGATTATGCCATCTTACTGTTAATTTTCATGTTTTTTACATGTAAAAATTAAGACAGACATTTATGTTTGCCTCTGATGATTTACACAAAAATCTTTATTTCATTTTTATACTTGCCCAAATCATAGTGTCTATGTTGTCTCTGGACTGAAAGCCTATGTTCTCTGAGAAATCAGAGGTTAAGTTTATCAGTTTTCTTGTTCAGATTTCCCTATGAATCGCTCATCATTTTTTTTTTTTGTTCAAAAAGACATCAATTATAGGGGGAAAACTTAAGGGCTTTTGTTTCTTCAGAAGGGGTTCTTTCTTTCTTAGGACTTTGATAGAAACACTGATTCTCTTTTTTCCTCTCTGAATCAACTTTATTGCAGCATAATTTATGTATGATAAAACGAGCATATTTTAGTCCATAGTTCTATTAGTTTTGACAAATGTTCACAGTTTTGGAACCACCACCCTAGTCAAGATTCAGAACATTGCTACTGCCGCAAGAAATTTCATTATGCTCCTTTGTAATCAGCACCTCCTCCATCGCCAGTCCCTGGCAGTAACCAGATCTGTTTCCTCTCCCTATAATTTTGCCTTTTAAGAATTTTATATAAATGCAATCATACACTATGTAGTTTTTGAGTGTGGTTTCTTTCACTTGGCATAATGCATTTGATATTCATGCATGTTGTTTTGTGTATTGGTAGTACATTCCTTTTTATTGCTAAGTAATATTCCATCATATGGTTATATCACAGCACATCCATTTACCAGTTGAAGGGCATTTGGGTTTTTTTCCATTTTTTGGTGATTATGAATACAGCCACTATAAACAGTACCACACATATTTTTCTGGAAACATGTTTTTATTTATTTTGGGTTAATGTCTAGGAGTGGGCTTAATTGGTCATAAGTTGAGTGTCTAATTTTATAAGACACTGCTAAACTATTTTCCAAAGTGATGGTACTATTTTGCAGTCACCAGCAATGTTTAATAGTTCCAGTTGCTCTGTATTTTTGTCTGCACTTGGTATTCTCAGTTTTTACATTACCCCTACCCCTTACCACCATTCTGATAGCTATATAGTGGTATGTCATTGTGGTTTTAATTTGCATTTCCTTATTAATGATGTTGGGCATCTTTTAATGTGTTTTTTTGTCATACATCTATCATCCTTGGTAAAGTGTTTATTTAAGTCACATGCTTAATTTGGGGGGGGTTATTGTTTGTTTTATTACTGAGCTTGAAGCATTCTTCATTTATTAATGTACTAGAGGCCTGATGCACGAAATTCGTGCAAGAGTAGGCTTTTGCAGCCCCGGCTTCATGTGGAAGGTCATCCAGACGGATGTTCGTTCTGCTATTCGGCCGCTCAGTCAATTTGCATATTACACTTTTATTATTATAGACAGGTCTTATTGGTGCATTTTAGAAAGCTCATTTTGAAGTCCATGTGAAAGAAATCCTGGTGCCAGGAAATTAGAAGAATTTTGCAAAAGTGCAAATAAGCTTCTGGACCAGGGTGGTTGCAATAGGGAGAAAGAGATAAGTGTGTGAAAAAATAGAAGCTACAGGACTTGCTAACACATCTGATGTGGGGAGATAGAGGAGTCAAAAGTAATTGAGGACTTGTATTTTGCTAGGAGGATAGCTTTCATAAATGGTGATTATTGTTTCTTGTGTACTAATTTGGCTTTTCTCTGTGACAAATCATAATCCTCTCAGAACTGGAACTCCAGCTTAAACATCTTCTCTATCCCACAGTGCTAAGCACTCACTATTTAGTTAAGAGTTCAGTAAACTCTGTCTTTTTTTGGGAGTGGGAGTGGGGAGGCAGGTATGTGCATTCTTTGACTGATTACTCCATATTCTACTTTGGCCTTTTTGTAAAAACACAAATTGTTCCATTGAAGGATTTATGAAAATTATGTAACTAAAGAAAATTATGTAGTTGAGGTCAAAATATTCTCCAGCAATTGAGATTCCTAAGAGTTGTGAAGAAAACGTCACAACAGAAAAACCATTTGCCCTGAATAAACCTGAAAGCTCTAGTTAGTTTCAGCAGTGGGTTCTACAAAAGAGAGAGTATCTGTTAGAAGTTCACTAGTGTATAGAGGGGGATCATCCTGATAGGAAGCATGGGGTTAGGAGAAACCTGACATTGAAGGATTTTCTGTATTCGATACTCTTGACTTCATGTTTGATTCACTTCGGAGGACTTAGTGATCTCTGTATTTAAAAGTAGTCTTAAGACACAGTTACACATGAGTCCTTAAAAATAACATAGTGTTTCTGATTTGGAGTGTAATTCTTATGCTAAGCAATGGAGAATGGACTTTATTTTTATTGAATGTGCATGTTAAAAAATATTGTTACTGCCCGGCTGGTGTGGCTCAGTGGTTGAGTGTCAACCTGTGAACCTGGAGGTCACAGTTCGATTCCCAGTCAGGAAACATGCCTGGGTGGCAAGCTCGATCCCCAGTGTGGGGCATGTGCAAGGCAGCCGATCAATGATTCTCTCTCATCGTTGACGTTTCCATCTCTCTACCTCTCCCTTCCTCTATAAAAATCAATAAAAACATATTTAAAATATACATATTATATATTGTTACTGAATATATCTAGTCACTCATTTACAGTTCATGTGACATTAACTTTAATAAGTATCAGTTCCTTCATTTTGGGATTTTCTTGCTTGAATTGCATCTGTTCTGTGCCGGCTCTCAGGGAATTTCTTTAACATTTTTTTTTTCACCTCTGGTCTTATTTTACAAGATATATTTTTAAAAATATATATTTTATTGATTTTTTATAGAGAGGAAGGGAGAGGGATAGAGAGTTAGAAAC